CTATTGAACCTTTGTCAACCACTCCTATGCATATCTTCCTTTAGACTCAGTATGTGAATACCTAGAGACTTACGTAATTTATCAGGTCCCAGTGTATATGCATATATATGTATATATTTTTTAAATCATTCAGCATGTTTACTTGTAGATTTATAGACACTTTATACTTACCACAAATGAGGGAAACCATGTAGCCTAATGTTTCTTTGGCTTATTTGCTTACTATAATTTTTTCCAAGTCTTTCCATTTCCTTACAAATAGTACAATATCATTCTTTCTGATGGATGAGTAAGAATCCTTTGTATAAATATAGCATATTTTCTTGATCCATTCATCCACTGAGGGACATCTATGTTGATTCCATGTCTTGGTTATGGTAAACAATACTGCGATAAACATGGTTGTGCTCGTGGCTTTAGTGTGGCCTGGTTGCTGGTCCATTGGATAAATGCTTAAATGGTGCTGGCAAAATTGGCTATCTACGTGTAGAAAACTGAAGCTAGATACTCGTATATCATCTTGCACCAGAATCAACTCTAAATGGGTCAAAGACTTCAATGTAAGGCCAGATACTGTGAAAATATTACAGCAAGGGGTAGGGGAAACCCTAGGCCTTCTAGGCATGGGGCAAAGCTTCCTAAATAAAGATCTAGAATCATAACAAATCAAAGAAAGACTGTATAATGGGACTGTATCAAATTGAACAGCTTCTTAGTGGTAAAGACATAGCTAGCAAGATAAATAGAAAGTGATCTGTAGGTAGTTCAATGGTAGAGTACTTACCTAGCATATGTGAAGCCCTCAGTTTGATTCTCAACACTAAGGTAAAAAATAAAATGGAACCCTCTTTTAAAAAAAAATACATAGAGCCGGGAGCCAGTGGCTCATGCCTGTAATCCTAGTTACTCAGGAGGCTGAGATCTGAGGATTGTGGTTCAAAGCCCACCCAGGCAGGAAAGTCCGTGAGACTCTTTTTTTTTTTTTTTTTTGTGAACACACTGTACAGAGGGGTTACAATTACATGGGCAAGATTATGAGTACATTTCTTATCAAGCATTGCAGCCTCCTCCTTTGTTTACCCTTTACATCCCTTCCCAGCCTCCCCCTGCCCCCACCAAATCCTCCTCCACCCCCCACCAAAGTTGTAAAGTTCATTTTTGACATGACAACTTGTACTTCTCATTGCTGCAACGGGTCCACCTGTATCCTTAAACGAATTGTTTTTCCCCTTCTCCTCCGCAAATTATACCAACATCAAATATAGTGAAAGCAGGGGTTATACTGTGGGGGAGGGACATACAAAGGAACAAAGAAATAATCTTATAAATACATTAGAAACAAATGCATGAAAGAAAAAAAACATTTAAATACATATCTAAGGGTTTATCCGTGAGACTCTTATCTCCAATTAACCACCAGAAAAAGAAAACTGGAAGTGGTGATGTGGCTCAAGTGATACCTTCAGCTCAAGGTACTTGAGGACCTCAAAGACAGCGCCCAGGCCCAGAGTTCAAGCCCCATGTCTGACAGGGGAAAAAAAATCAATAAAAATCCCACAGAATGAGAGAAAATTTTTCGCTAGTTATACATCAGAAGACAAGGACCTCATACCTAAAATATGTTAAAAGAGTTCCAAAATTTAAGCCCCCAAAAATAAACCCTCAAAAACTCAACAGCCCAGTCAATATATGGGTTAAAGACTTAAAGAGAGTCTTCTCAGAGGAAGAAAACAGAATGAC